CCCAGCAAATTATTATTAAAAAACACTTTATTCAGAAATATTACAATTTGTCTCAGTTAAGGACACTTATAATAGAGTTCAGAGATTGCATTCATACCGTATATACAAAAATATAAATAAATAAAGTAATAACAAAAGAATAAGAAGAAAGAACAAAAGAGTAAAGAAAAAAAAAATAATATATATACACATAAGTAAATAAAAATAGAAATAAAAGTAAAACAAACACCTTATATAAAACATACATTATTTACAATTTGCCAGGTGATCTCCGAACCAATCCTTTCCCCTCCACATGTGGAGGGGAAAGGGAGGCTTAGGAGATCCCTACGCTTCTCCCTCAGCCACTTCACTGGTATTTTAAACCAGCGGAGGATGAGTAAGAGCGCTACAGCCACAGACACTCATGACTTGAGTGGAGAATCTGGCCATTGCTAGAACTCCAAAATATCCATATTTACAAAAGGTCTCGTGGCCACTGCCGCTTTAACCTACGAAGGGGATTGTAGGGATGGGTGGTGCTTGATAGGGATTGTACAACGGGATTTGGGTGATGAGAAAGGTTCTGGTGAAATTTGGAAAATTTGGCTGGGATAAGATCAAGAATAAATGGGATATTAAGGTCATGATGTAGGGTTTTATTGGTTACATAGAAGGGAGCATTGACTATTGTACGGAGGACTTTAGACTGAAAGGATTGAATGCGTTTGATGTTAGAAAATTTGGCTGTTCCCCATAGTTCTAGTCCGTAAGTCCAGATGGGTTTCAGTATTGTCTTGTAGATCAGTAATTTGTTTTCACCAGAAAGTTTAGATTTTCTATTCAGTAGTCTATATAGCTGGCCATATCGTCTGTTAAGTTCCTGTCTTTTAAGTCGAGTATGTGGATTCCATGTTAGTCGTCTGTCTAAGAGAAAGCCAAGATACCGGACTGTATCTGAGAAAGGAAGCTGGATGGAGTTAAAATAAACTGGTGGGCAGGTATTACGCCGAAGGGTGAAGGTAATGTGTTTACATTTAGATTCGTTTACCTTAATGCGCCATTTCTTACACCAGTGTTCAATCAGGAAGAGGTGCCTTTGTAAGTTTGCGGACGCTGTTTCAGGATCTGAGTTGGAAGAAAGGATAGCAGTGTCATCAGCGAAAGTTGCCAGGAGGGTATCGGGATGGACAGGAATATCAGCGGTAAAGAGAATGTAAAGGATGGGGCCCAAGACGCTGCCTTGAGGAACGCCAGCCTCAATTGAGTAACAGTCGGAGAATTCGGTGCCACAGCGAACTCGGAAGGAGCGGTCGGAAATATAGGATCGGAGTACTAGGTATAAGGACTGTGGTAGATGGATTTTAAGCTTGAAGAGTAATCCGGCGTGCCATACCCGGTCAAAAGCTTGCGCTATGTCCAGAAATGCACCCGAGCAATACTGCTTGCTTTCTAGGGTTGAGGATATATGGTCAACAACTCGGAGTCCTTGCTGGACAGTGGAATGTTGGGAACGAAATCCGAATTGATGAGTAGGAAGGTTATAGGATTCAATTATAGGTAGGATTCGTTTCAGTAGGATCTTTTCAAAAATTTTTGAGAGGATTGGGAGTAGGCTAATTGGTCTATAGGATGCTGTATTGTTGGAAGGTTTGCCTGGTTTCAGGAAGAGGACGATGGTGGAATGTTTCCATAAAAGAGGGAAGTGGGTAGTTCTTAGGATGCAATTGTATATATATGTAAGAAATATGATGGCTTTAGATGGAAGTTGTCGAAGGATCTGTGGGGTTAGAAGGTCATATCCAGGAGATTTGCGAGGTGTGATTTTCCGTAAAAGGTATTTGACCTCAGAGGGATTAACAGCTTTAGGTGGTAAGGAGAGTGGGATAGGTATTGAGAGGGATTCTTCTACTTTTACTGTGTGGCTGGGATGGGATTCTGGATGAGGAGCGAAAGTATAGGAAAGGTGTTTGGCAAATTCCTCGGCTTTATCTTCATCAGATGCTGCCCAGGAGCCATCATCTCGTCGAAGAGGGTGGGAAATATGATGGGATTTGAGGATTTTTCTAGTGATATTCCAAAGGGAATTATCATGAGCAGAGAGTGTGGTGAGGTAGGAATTGAATGATTGGGATCTGAAGGTGGCTAATTCTTTTTTTAATTTTTTACAGTGATAATTGTAGGAGTGGCGGTCGGCTGGATGTCTGGTACGTTGCCATAATAATCTGGCACGGCGTTTTATGTGGATTAGGTCAAGGAGGTGTTGAGGTAAATTATGTTTCTTAAGGATTTTTGAGGAGTGATCAGGGGAGGAAGCAGTCCAGACTGCTTCTTGAATTTTGGTAGTGAAGGAATGTACTGCATTGTCCAGGTCTTCAGAGGTTTTCAGGGTTACTCTGAGGTCAATTTTATCGGAGAGGATTTGATGAAAGAGTTTCCAGTTAACTGGGCCTCTGATGAAGGACGGAGGAGAGGGTTTAGGAATAGGAGCTAGTGATACTTGGAGTATTAATGGGCTGTGGTCTGAGGAAAGCTCGTCAAGACGGGCAACGGAATGGTTGAGAGCACCTAAACCATTATGGATAAAGAAATCGAGGATATCGGGATTACGGTTAGGATCAGTGGGCCAGTAGGTAGGTGAGTTGGGTGGAAGAAGGGTAAAATTTTGGGAATTGAGTACAGACAGCAATGTTCGACCACGAGAATTCGTGGTTCTTGAACCCCATTGTTGATGCTTGGCGTTTAAGTCTGCACCCAAGATGAAATGATGTCCTAAGGAAATGAGGAAGGAACTAAATTGGATATTGGAGATGGATTGGTTTGGAGGGCAATACGCTGATGCAACGGTAATAGGAAAGGAGAAGGTTTTGATTACGACTGCGGTGGATTGTAGAAAATCGTGTGTAGGCAGTGGGAGTAGGTGATGGGAGAGGGATTGGTGCACAATGACTGCAGTACCGGCATGTGCTCTACCGTCAGGATGGTCGGTACGGTAAGTTATGTATTGTGGTATTTTTAGGAGCTGTTTTTTAGTCAGTCGAGTTTCCGTTATTAAGGCTACGTCTACGTTCTTGTCTTGTAGTAAGGCTGTTAGTTCGTGTATGTGATTTCTAACACCATTCGCATTCCAAAGGAGAATGGATATGGGTTTGATGGAAGTCATTTAAGGATTTTTTAAAGGAGGGATAAGGTGAGATACTAGGTTGGTGAGAAGTGATATCAGTGGGGTAACAAGGGATTTAAATTCTGAAAGAAAGGATGTCAATAAGCTGGTTAGATCTGTAGCATTAGGCGGTGGAGGAACATATTGGATTTGATGTTGGTGAGGTTGTTGTTGATTAGGTACATTAGGTGGGATAGGATATTGAGATTGGGGTTGAGTTTGTTCTTGCGGCAGGGCCTCACATACATTAGTCAGGTCTCTACCCCCAAGTAGCTTGGCAAAAGAAACCTTAGAGTTCACAATTTTAGCGGGTCCTCTTCTTGGTTTAGGTGTATCATCAGGGTCCCTGGGTTTCATATATCTCGCTTTAAGATTTTTATAAATTTGGCAGCCTTTGTAGTTGGCTGGATGGCCTTCCAGGCATAGGGCACAGACTGCTGGTTCTGTAATTGGTTTATTACACTCGCCAGACTTGTGTGTTTTACCACATTTCACGCAGCGTGGTAAGTGGTGGCAATAAGACTTGGTGTGGCCATATGCTTGGCAATTATGGCACTGGATGAACTCTCTTTTTGGGTACGGTTTTTCGACCTTTACGCTGGTGTAGAAAATTCTATTCACATCGTATATTTTTTCGATCCCAGGCGATGGCTCTAGATCGACGAAAAATAAGGGCAATGGGATTTTATTCTTTACACCTGGTTGTTCTTTATTTTCTTTTAAAACATTGGTTATCTGACGTATTTTGAACCCTAACGCCGTTAACTCTTCTTTAATCACTTCTATTGGGGTTGAGGAGTGTAAATTTCTTATTACAACTCGTAGTGCTCTTTCCTGTTTCAACTGGTATGTGTGAAAGTCCGCATTTGTGTCTGTTAAATATTTTACGATTTTTCGGTACGCTTCAGGTGTGGCCGGTATTATTTTTGTATCATTTATTCTGTTTAGGCATGTATAGCTACCTAACCCAGCAAATTAAAGACAATAAAGAAAGAGGTGAAACCGTGGAGCAGCTCCAAACGTAGCAGTCGTGAAGTCGTCCTCACGCGGCTGAGGATCGGATACATCAGACTGACACACCCCCACCTCATAACAAAATATCTTATCCCCAGATGTCAAAAGTGTGATCAGAGAGTAACTATAAAGCGTGTTTTGGAAGGGCACTCTTTACTCCGCAAAAATAAAAGATCTTGGAATATCCCAGAATATATCAGCATCCCTGGAAAACCAGAAAGAAATCATTACTGAAGTTATGAAGTTCCTACACAATGAAATTCTTTTAAAGCATGTATGGCACGTTTATAACTAATGGTCCTTAGCAGTTTTAATTTATTATTTATTTTATTTTATTTTTTAATTATTATTGTCTATTCATTTATTTTTTTTATTTTTAAAGTTCATTTATTTATTGATTGTATTACTATTTTTTTTTAAAGTTTATTTATTTATCTATTTTGTCTTATTATTATCTTTAAGTGTACTTATTTTATTTTATTAATATTTTTTATCCTTTTTTTATTTATATATTTTTATTTTTTGTACAAACAGTATAAAATGTACCTAGACAGTATAAAAGTAATGTTATTTAGTTGATCGGGCGCTGATGACATGGATGTTTTGCGGCTAGACATCTCAATAAACAAACGAAACTCCCTTCTGGGCACCTCTGGTCCGATACTACTCATTTCGCCATTCTTTTATTTCATTCTTTTAATGCTCTGTAATAATATTAGGCGTTTATTATTTTATTTCAGATTGTTGAACAATATTTTGGCTATGATACTATGAAAAACTGTTTTTCTATTATTGAAAATGTACGTATTAATTTATTTTGTCTAAGAAATTTGTCTGCTTTTAGATTCCGGACCTACAGGAGCTTTGTTTTGCCCCGCTGAGTAACGAAAATAGAGCAGAAAAAATCTCTCAATGTGCTGTTATGAGTATATGGGGGTATTTTAACAATGATATCGACTTATTTAATAAGACCTCTACAGATAAAAATGGCTTTACTACTAACTATTTAGATAAAATCCATAAATGTTTAAGGTTAGTACTTTTATGTACCTTACAATAACTTTCCCATCTTCCTCTAAATTTTAAAGTAATATATTCTGAAAAACTGAGCTTATTTTCAGTGTTTATTTTATAATTCTATACCTATTCTATATCTGAAATTTCGATACCTTGGTTTGATAAGGTTCTAACTGCATTTACGATAATTTTTAGAAATTGTGTCATTGGCCTAATGACAAGACACAGTCAGCAGACAGAACTGGAGTTGGAATAATATTTTGGTACATCGTTTATTATTTCCAATAATAAATCTTTGTGATCAACCTAAAAAAACCCTCCTCAAATATATTGGGGCTTAACGTTTAATGAATACCTATTGCATATATATATAACACCATACGTTGACTGCAAAAATATATATCATTCACCGTACGCCTTTTTTCGTGTTAATTTTTTGTTTTTTTTTGCTTCCTCACTACCGAAGGTATGGAAGCATTGTGTTCGTGCGAGAGGTTAAAAAAAATTGTATGCTCAGAATCGAAAATTTCCACTTACATTTCAGACATCAAGAATCAAATTTGGTTCGGTGTCTGTCTGTCTGTAGTTAAATCGATGTAACGGGCATATCACCTACTACTGTTTATCCAATTTCATGAAAGTTCATTGAAATCTGTCCTCTACATTCTCTTATTTATGTGCAAACATGTTTTCCTTGATATGTTTATATCTCTAATTTCGATTTGGCTCAAATTCGGAGGAATGTTAGGGATTAGTTAACAGATAATTAAGTGAATATTAATTATATATATTTCTATCAACTACTCTCAAAACAAATATTTCCGCTTTCGGATTAGTAAATATATTATTTGACACGCCTAAAGTCTGGAAATGGCTCGTTCAATTTGACTCAAACTTGGAGGAAATTTAGAGAACGTTATAGAAATTGCATTGTATGAATTTCATTAAATTCCATATAATAATTAAAGTTAATACAAATAAATGTTAATAGTATAATGCCTGTGAAATGTGGAAGGCATTGATCATGTATAATGTGGCTTAGGTTAATACAATATTTTTATGAGGTTATAAAATGTAATAAAGTTTTATTCAAAAAGTTAATTTATACTGTATTGTAGGTCGCTTCCAAATGTTACTGCAGTTATTTAGATTTCGTGTGATTTTCAATAAATTTAAATTAAATCTTAATTTGTAAAAAAAAAAAAGTCTTGATGGTTATGTTTATTTCTATTGAAATTCAACCAGCTCGTCGTGGTCTGGATTTCATCCTTAAACATCGAAATTGTGAGAACTTTACTTATATTTTTATATTCCAGCTTAAATTAGTTTTGTTCTGACTGAAGAAAAGTATTGGTCTCGCTAACAACGAACAAACAAAAACTTGAATTATTCCTATGGATATTTTTCCATCCATTTTATGTGTGAAAACTTTCTTTTTTTTCTCCCAGCCTTGCCTTACAGGCAATACGGGTTATAGTAGCAGTGGGTTATTTGCTGAGGGATTACTGAATTTCTGAAAACGGCTTTTCTCAGAGATTTTATTCGCGCTATGCATCTTCGGATATTGTCTTCCAATGTCGGTGTTATGACTGCTTTTTGACCTTTCTTCAGCAAGTTGTGAGGGGCACAAGATACTCAGCCATTTTCGGAACGAATCTTCTATAGTAATTTAGTGTTCATGATAGTCTTCGGATTCCTTTTGTAACCGCCATCTTCTGAATTGCTTCCACCTGCCTGGCATCGGGTTTCACTCCGTCATCTGATATAGTGTGCCTTAAAAAATTCTGATATAGGTTCTGTCCCATCCTGGATTTTTCCTCGGACAATTTCAATGCGAATTGTCGTAGCCGGTTGAAAACACTCCGCAAGTGTTCGACATGTTGAACTTCGGTTTTACTGAATATCAACAAATCGTCCAAAAAAAAAAAAAAAAATTGGTATAGGATATTTTTCGTCCACCGTATTCTCAACATGTCACCCTCTTTACAAAAAATATCTACCTGTTCTTTCTTTAACTCTTGTCTTCAGTCCTCGGACCGCTTAATTGACCGTCTTCTTAAAAGGGTTTCTGATATCGGTATTTCTTTCGTCCTATACGGATAACCCATTGTCCGCCGCTGTATTGTATTTTAATCCTTAGTTTCACTAACAGGTCGCAACGAATTATTCCACTGTATTTCCGAGGCATCCTTTCGATTATCTGGAAAACAAAGACCTCGGGTTGATGAAGACGGCATCTACAATGCTTGGAAAGTGTAAAATCACTAACATATGGTCGGAACCGGTAGTGAGAGTCGACCAGATTCGCCAGGCACTAAACAATGCGTCTAGTGCTGCAAAATCCATTATTTATACGTGGGAAACGCAACAATTCGTGATATAAGATAAAGATAAAAGATAAAAGATAAAGAAGCTGTGAAGGGAACAGATTGGAATAGACAAAACGTTGCTATTCTACTAAATACGATCGATATCCGTCGAAAGAAATACAGGAGGAGAAGCCTACAGCGACTACACCGCTGAGCGATTTACAAGTGGACACTTTCACTTGGAAAGGCTACAAGTGGATTACCATAATGGATCTCTTCAGTAAAGTAGCCATGGACCCAGTACTCCATATCCCAGAACAGAACCGTTCGGCGGAGGCGGCTGCTAAGAGCTCTACGGACGTGGTTTCAATTCTACGGAGTACCAGACCTGATTTCATCAGATAGTGGAAGAGAATTTGACAACGCTAGCATTAGAACAGATATGAAGGTTCTCGACAATGAATGACATCATAATACACCGGCACGTCCAAAGAGTAGGGGAGGTATTAAATGGCTTCACAGTACATTAGGGGAACATATCAGGGTATAGAATGTAGACAGAGGCCTGGAGGCAGATGCGGCGATGCCTAGAGCACCCAATCCATTCGGTAACAGAGTTGTCCCCATTCGAAATTCTTTTTGGGTTCCTAGGGCGGCGGAGAAATGGTGTAGGCACGGCGATGGACGGTTGTCGGAGAAAATGGTGAATAACGGCATTCAACTCGGAAAGTTATGGGAGAAAGTTCGGGGGAAAATAGAGGTAGAAAAGAGGAGAAGACCGCGAAAATATGAGGGTGAAAGACATAATTGGAGAGATAAAGATTGGCAGTTTAGTGTACCGGAAATTGGGATCAAATAGAAGCAAAGAGCTGATAAAATATGAGGGTACATTTGGGGTAATCGTAATTAGAGAACACAACCTATTGACGATTCAGAGTGTTAAAGAACATATAAAGCGGAGAACCTTTCATATCGAACAATTAAAGTTTCCAGTGTGTAACCCATAGTAAATTGGGGAATCCTCATCTCTGTAGACTAGAAAATGTGTACATATAATTTTATCAATTTATATTGTTCGTTTTATTTGTATTAATTGATTTTTTTTTTTTTTTTTGTATTTTAGTATTCTAATTGTTTTTTTTTCTTCTGTTGTTTGTTGTTTTTGTTTTTACATAATAGAAACATTTTATTGTAAAGCTGTAAATTCTGGTTATTGCTCCTTATTTGAGTTTACGGAACTTTCCGTTAACAGGCGGAAAGGAGTTAAGGACCGAAGTAACAGCTCTTAGGTTTAATATCAGCTATTAGGAAAAATCAGCTGTCAGATGGATGTATATTGAAGAGCAGGGTGGAAGAATGAGTGTTATTTCTGCTCTCTCTCTCTTTTTTTATATTCTATTCTTTAGAATTAACTCAAGTTATATATATGTTATTTGTGGATTTGATTAACACATACTATACACCCTCCTGTGTATTCTCATTAACGGAGATGGACATTCATGCTCAAAATAAACAAATTATATTTTCCCATATAGATTGACAAAATTTATCGAAATAATTAAAATTTGTGTAACTTTTAACCCATAAAAGGTAAACTAATAAATGATATACACATTTAAAGAAAAATCAATGTTCTACAACTTTTTTTCAGACAATTTTCTTGTAGAATGAAAAGCCGTCGTTACAAAAGTCATATCTGACAAAAAATGTGAGACGAAAATAAATTTTTAGAAAAAGGCATGAATGTAATGAATTTTGTCAGCTTTAATTTCCTATACGACAATGTTTTGTCAGTGACGCCTAATTTTCAAGATATCTGAGAAAATATGGAAAAAGTGACCTTTAAGGCGCCCCTACACACATGAAGTGGGAGGGGTAGAGGGAAGATTTTTAGTATGTTTACCTCCTAAGTTTCCTCAACAAATTCCCCAAGTCAATTGCTTGTCCATCCTCCATGCACCCTACAAGCCCTTTTTTACCATTCATTGACTCCAATAATGAGAGAGGAGGGACTTATATCTTCTTCCTCACCTCTAGTCAATCCACTGCAGGAGCATTAGTGAGATATTTTGAATATTTTAAATAAAAAATCACAATAATACAAAATAACAGCAAATATAGATCGGAACATAACAATAAGACAATTTTATTTTTGGAGTTAGGTTGTAAATGGTTATTCTTATTTATTTACAACATATATGTACAAATATAGTTCTGGTTCTGTAAACAAGCTCATATATTATTATTAGATTCTCTATTTAATGAATGGCATCATTACAGTTTTAAGTTTCAATATATCTTTACACCTTATAATTATAAAAAGTTACTTTTTTCAATACTATTTATAATTACAGAAGCAGCACAAGTACTGATTGCATGGCACCATATGGTGGAAATGTTGATCCAGCCATTGCTGTTGGAAAATTTCTGCATATAGGTAATGAAGCATATGAACAGGCCCAAGCAATTGTAATTACTTTTTTATTGAACAATTATATCAGTGGAGATAAATTAAAATCAGCAATTGAGTGGGAAAAAAAGTGAGTTTATTTACAGAAAATCTCATATTTTTTAATTGTAATTTATGGCATGTTGAATTCTATACAAAACATCCATAGAAAATTCAATTGCATTTATTTATTTTTTTAATGCTCTATATTATACTTGTTAATGTTAAGAGAAAGCATTAATGAGGAATAAAATAAAATAAAAACAAGGAGTTTTTAAGACAGATATTTATTATCTGGAAAAAAGGGTAAATTGACGTGATATTATAGGGTGATAATTTATTAAAATCAAATATTGTAATTATCTCCTGTTGTTATTTAATGTTCAAATGCCAATTTGTTTTGTTTCTTATATTTCTAACAATCCAGAATTTCAGCAATTTGGTACTACGAATACAGCGAGTTCCATCTTTTTACTTTTTTTTCTTATAATTTTCGGTTATAACAGTCTTAGAAACGTTGAAAATGAAAAAAAAAAAAAAAAAATTCTCATTTGTTACCTATAGGTCTAGTTTAGTAAATTAAACACTCATTTACATATTTAAATTGAACATTAACAGCGTTTTCTTTTCTTGAACGTTTCAGGAATGATCCATCCCCCTCTGTAGCACTTATAGAAGAATCTAACTGAACTAGATCTATAGGCAACGAATGAGAATAAACAATTAATAAAGAAAGGTTAAAATTATAAAATAATCAACTTATTCTACATTCACTTGTAACCAGTTTAAGACAAAATCTAAACAATTTTGCATCATATTTCGCAAACATTCGCATTTAAAGACAGCTTAAACAACCTTTGGTTAATTTTACATAAATTTCTAGTTTTCTACATCATAAATGTAACTATTTCTTTTAAATAGATTTGTGAGTGTTGTCAAAAACTGGATCAAAACTGACATGCCTGACTACATGGATATTGCATTCAATTCAGAAATGTCTATTGAACATGAAATTTCAGCAGAATCCACGGCTGAGGCTACTACCATTGTAATGAGCTACCTGCTAATGTTTGTTTATGTGTCACTAACTCTTGGTTCCTACAGATCTATCAAAACCCTACTTGTAAGTAATGAGTATTACATGTCATATTAAGTGTATTTTGTTGATGATATATCAATAAACATGAAAATTAGTTCAAGAAATATTATATATATACAATACTACACCTAAAGTTTAACACTATGTGTCACCCAAGATAAGTTCACACTGCCTAAATAGCTAAATAATGTTTACAGTACAGTCATTTTTGTTAGAACTATCTGATAATATATAGCACATTGTGTGGGAAACACTCAAAAAGTTTGTTTTGGCCAGAGCTAAAATTAAACATACAATAAAATAATATAAGTATTAGAAGATTTTTACATTATTCCAAGTGGCTACTACATCAGTCTCCTAAGTCTCATATTGGATATATTAATTGTTGCCATATCTTATATTAATGTGTTAAAATGTCTGTGTAAATTATCGTGTAATCTTTTATAATGTGTACGTATTAGTCCATGGTACAGACCCCTTTTTATCAAATTATTCGCATATTATTAACATCGGTATAAAACTTCGTAAATAGTTTTATCTCATCCTCTCCTGCAGCTTTTTTTTTTTTTGTGGCATTATCAATCTGAAGATCGGCAAACTTTGTCTATTTAATTATGTGCTAAAAACTCATGAATACATTTGCTTTCCACTTGGATCCTAAGATAATTTTTGTTTTTGAATTTAATTTCGAAGATCTTGAGAAAAGTGAGTATAATAGTAATATAAGAATTATAAAAATTATTATATAATAGATCGGTGGCACTTGTGCATAGGGTTTTAAGTGTAAAAATCATGGAAAAACGCAATAGAAAGTTTTTAATTTTCACAAGTGTAAACTCAATTTTTGAGTTTCGACCCATAATTCACAAAGGAATGTTAAGCTGCATTACTTAGCCCATCATTCAAAAAGAAAAATTAGCTTCCTGGTGATATCCATAAAAATTCAAAAAATTGCATTTAACGCAATTTTCACTGATACTTAATGTTATTTATATAAACAGAGAAAAATAAATGCTAGTTATCCCAGAAAATGATCTTGTTTGAGTTGGGGGTGCCATATTAGTTCAGCGTGAGTGACGATTGCTATAATTTGAGCCACATTTAATTGTGCTACAGTTTATAATAAAAGTATTTCACGTCTCATTGTTGTTTTCAGATTATTAAGGAGTAGCATCATAAGTATGCAAATCACAAAAATAAACAACCAAGAATGGTTGTAATTTATTTTAAAATTGAGCTTGTTCAGATATTGATATTTTTTCCAGTTTACCCAAGTAATGGTTTTCCACTAGGAATATTCCAATGTGTTGCTTAATCTATATTGTCATTTTATTATTATACTTTTAGTACTAAAAATGAAACAAATGTGTTTTTTCAGGTTGATTCTAAAATATTTCTAGGAATGGGAGGTATACTATTGGTGCTATCCTCTATTTCTAGCGCTGTGGGTATTTTCGGTTATTTGCATGTCAACACATCATTACTGACTATGGAGGTAATTCTTTGTAAAATTTTAATAATTATTTGTAGATTTATATAATGGAAATCAATATTTTTTTATTGTTATAGGTGATTCCATTTTTAATTTTGGCTGTTGGTGTGGATAATATGTTTTTACTTGTAACCACAGTAATGAAAAATGAAGTTCGGTATAAAGATATTGTTGAATGCATTGCCCAATCAGTAAGTGAAGTAGGACCTTCAATTTTATTAACAACTTTATCTGAAGCAGCTTGTTTTGGAATAGGTTAGTGGTAAAATTTTGAATTGAGAAATGTTTATTTGTTGTAATGAGTAATATTGGAAATTACATCATCATAGAAACATAAATTGGAATAAAATGGCTTATAGTTTTTCTTAAAATCAAAATTATCTAGCAATACAGCTTTAAACTTGATTATTCAAACAAATTTGTCATTTCTTTGCTGCAATAGATTTTCCAAAACAACTGAAGAAAACATAAATCAAATAATAAACCAAAAAAAAGGTAAAATAATATTTTCCTTAGCTGTTGTGCAATAATTTTCTACCCATTAAAAAAATATATTTTGTTTAAAATTAATTTGTTTGACAGTTTTATTTGGTGTAAATAAATAATTTTCCCCGTTAAAACTTATAAACAAATATCAATAATTGATTAGTTTCTCAGTTGATAAATTCTTAAGTTTCCCTATGAATCTGATCATCTAGGATAGGCAGATAAATTTTTTTTGTCAGGTAAAAATCTTGTTTCATATAAGAAAAAAAAGTCTTCTAATAATTCTAAATTTTGAGTTGTTAAGTATGTTTTTTTTTTATCTTGTCTGCCCTCTGAATTCGACCACTTAGGATATGCAGACAATGTTTCTCTGTCATGTAAAAACCTAGTTTCTAATTTTTATATTAAACGTCTTCAAATAATAATATTTTGACGTTTTAGTAACTGTTTTGGACGGCCGCCATTTCCGACCCATTTGAGGTGGCAGTAAAAAAAAAGATTGTGGAAATTGATCGAACATGAAAAAAAAAATACTTTGAAAATTTTCTTCAAATAAGTCACCATTTTGGCCCTCGAATCTTGGATTATTAGGTAACTATTTACCCTCCACAAATTCAATTAACATGATGAATGAACAGTATAACCGTAAACCACCTCTTCTTTTCAATTTTACTGTAATGAACGTTGCAAATTATTACTCAATTGTTTATTATTTCCAAACATTTATGTATCATATGTAACACTACTTTCATTGTCACATCGAGGAAAATAAATAAAAGATGATTCCTATAAATAACATGTTAAAGGTTAATTGTAAATGAGTTGTTTTTGGCGGGCAATTCGCGAATAGCCTTCCTCTTTTATATCGGGTAACTAGGTTATTTACACTTGTGACTATTAAAATAAAACCTCGGCACTGGATATAGACTTTTTGAGGGTGTTTAAATGTTGTTGGGAATTTGGGAAACTAATACTTTTTGTGACACTGCATGAGTAAAAGAAAAATAAGAATATATATATCTGAAATCACCTGTTTTGTTATTCTTCAATCGTGAGGCATATAGGACAACTAAATAAATAAATGACTTTTCACTCCTGTATAATAAAACAATTTATTTTACAACTGTAATAAATGAATGTATAAACGTCTTATAACTGTAGGCTTGATTTCTTAGTCTTCAATGTAGTATCTCTCTCTTCTGACAATCTCCTTTCTTCCTGTCCAGGCCAAGCGTCCTCTTGCCTCCATGTCCTAGCCTCAAGTGCCTGGCGTCCTCTTCCAGCTGATGCTACCTGATCGGACCTTTTTCCTTCTTCATCGATATGAGATTTTTCAATGAATGATTTGTCCACTGCACAATTGAGTACAATTCACAGTGCAACCTCAAATTCCTATATATTATATGTACATTCTCATACCCTCACACAATCTCACATAAAGGAGTAGATACTGGGGAATGTCTACTACATTCCTAATATATACATAAATAGCTTTTATTCTTTTTTTCATCATTATTAATTTGCTAAGAAATATTGATAACAATGTTGATTGCTTAAGGTAATGTAAGACTTTCCAAAAATAAAAACAAAGGGTATTACCTTTGCAGTGGAACGTGTGGTAAATATTTAGAACAACATATATTTTCATCCAATCATCCCATTTTAACGATTCTTTTATTGTTTTTTTTTGAAATTCCGTTAACTTTTTTTAATATAATTTTTGAGTTATTTGAAAATCTAATTTTACCATCTCTTATAACTTTTTCACACCTTCTTTTCAGTGAAGTATGTTATATAGATAAATTTAAAGGGCTACGAAGGACTTTTTTATTTGATTTTCAGATTCTATGTAACTTAAACACAACATATCGCAAAACATCAAATTTTGAGGCATTTTTAACTTTTTTTTCTTGGTCAATTACAAAGGTTGATTATTGAAAATAATAAACCAATAATGTTAAGATTTGTCGGACAAGTTTTGATCGAAAACAAGAATTACATAATTAATAAATTTATTTTTGAGTAAAATCACATAAGCTATAAATATGAAAATTTGTTAGGATATAATCTAACAAGATGCAGCTTTTTGAACTAAACTCACCGTTAGCTTATATCTTGGGTTCAATTCTTTGTTAGGAAATATTGTATCAAGGCCAACGGTTGTATAAGGAGGTGATTAGGCCAGGATCACGCTCAACTGACAGTTTTTTTTTTCCTCTTAATCGATTATTTAATTAACAGTACCCACTTTATCAAGGCTAGGTGTGCCCCAAGAGGTTCTACCGATCTCAGGGTCAATCCCCGGCTAATGAAAAATTATCTGTCATCAGCCAGATTCAAACCTGGGGCCTAGAGCTTAGTGGCCCAGTGCTAACTCACTGAGCTACTTGATTCCTGTTAGATTACACAAACCATAGAAATGATGGGAAGGGCGGGAATGATTGATACCTCTTTATTTTTTTCTCATTTTACACCACTTTTTTTTAGTTACGTCCATTTCGTTCTGAAAGTCTAGTAATGTATGGTATGATGGTGATTGCCTTATGTTCAGTAGTACTATTGCTACTGTGTCATTCTTGGGCAAAGGACATTTCTGTAGGTTCTGGACTAATTTGGTCAAATAGCGGGTAGTATTAATGAACTACTATTTTCGATTTAGAGGAGTTGGGTCTGCAAGGCACCGAAAATATGCCATTATTGTTCTTCTAGGAATGTTTGAAGGAATACTTAGCCCCAACAATGTTACCAAGCTAGATATGATTCTTATATTTTTTAGAACTTTTATTATTGTCAGAGAACAGAGTATCATAATTTACAGAGATATCTGATTGTAGCAAGTAGTCTTCTAATTTGTCTATTTAATTGATTTTGGTGATATGTTTTTTTTTTCATTTAACCACAGATGGTAATTTTAAGGGACTATCTGGTAGATTATCACCAGGTCTGCTTCCATAAGTTTTGCTATCATTTTCTCCATGCCTCTAACCATACAGTTGTTTCTAAATGTTTCTGTCCTAATAAAGTGGCAGTTAGAGGGTCGCCATAGAACCCAAGATGGGGTTGGCTAGTGGAGACACTGAGTAGTTTCTTTCCAGTTCCTCTTACCACTATCATCTCACAGTAAAATCTATTTTCTAAGATAGTGTCCAAGTACTCAACTATTGGGGTTTGGGTTGTAGAGAGGGCTAATGTGTTTTCAATTCACGCGTTACCTGACAAACTGATATCATGAAGATTATGAGTTTGAATCCCACCACTGGTGGCATTTAACACTGGCATTGATCCCACCCTCTCTCCTGGCTCAGGATAAATTCTGTTTAGCCAAAAAGGTGAGGTATGGGAGAAAAGAAAACAATTATTTAAATTTTGGCCCTTCTTTTATTGGCTCACCTTAATATACTCACATAGCTGATGCTGAGATGGGTTCTCAATTGGGCATCGAGTATAGCTGAAGCACAGTATTTTTTATATTTACTGTTATTTGATTTTCATAGCAATTTCCAAAAATTGGCCATAATTAGGCAAATAAAAATTCTCATTTCATATAAATGTTTTTACAATATCATTAAATAAATTTTTCTCAATAATAATTATTTACTATGTTTTAGCAACTCAATTTTTTTTTGGTTGATATTATTAATACATTGAGATTTTCTTTTCTAGGAACGATTGTCGATATGCCTGCTGTAAGAACATTTTCAGTTTATGCATTTACTGCTATATTGATCAACTTCTTGCTACAGATGACTGCCTTTATTGCATTTTTAGCAATACATTTAAGGAGAATAAAGGTATGAAATTGAAACATGTATTTGTTTTATTAAAGTGTGTGTGTCATAATTGTTTATTGTGATAAGGAAATATCTGATTTATAATTCATATAAACAGCTCCTGTAATCTAAATTTTGAGCTAGCAATTGGTTTACCGATTTAGTTATTCTGAAGCATTAATATTACCTTCATTCTATTTATTCTAACAACTATCAATCCTATGTTACCTTATTATACTTATTAAAAATATACTTTCTCTCACTATACTTTTCATATATTTGTAAGTAAATTTTTTTTCAAAATTATTTAATCAATTAAAACTATTCATCCACTGGGTGTAGAGGTGCGGCAAGATTCTGTGCTTCAATAGTATTACTTTACTTACTTTAATGACGTCATCTCCCCCTAATTTAAATATAATAAAATAATTTAATTTATTTCTTAAGCTATTTTATATTATGTGGCATTTGAATTTTATTTCATTCGACATGTCTCTAATACAGTTGCTTTAATATTAGTCTAAAATTAATTATTTTAATACGTTTTTTATTTTAACAAGTGTCTGATCCTCCCTGAAGTTCAGTTGGCACCCCTCCTGGTCGGTGTACCCGGGGCAATTGTCCCGTTACCCCGCCCGAAGGCCAGCACTGATCTCCATTATATAAATTAGGCTACAAACACAAGGGCACGGAACCAAATTAGTTCCTTATAGTCAAACTTTTTTATTCTGAGGACAAAAAATTTTTAATTTCCCCCAAGGGTACAAAGGTTCCCTACCTTTGATAGTGACTAAGAAAAATTCATATTCTGAACTTATACATCTCAATACTCTCTTCAGCTATCACTCCAATCCAGTATCGGTCTTAGAACCGGGAAATTGCCCCAGGATGACAAGCTAGAGAAGGCGTCCGCCTTGATTGAATTGATGCATGCTTGTTCTACACTCATTATTGACAATAAACTTAACTATTTAGCTTGTTCGTCTTATTTTAAGATGTCATACATATAAGAATTAAATTTTTAAAATGGCTTTATACGGATTTTATAAAAAAAAAAATCTTCTTTCTATTTATTTCTTTTTAATACAAATTTATTCAAATAACAATAATTAATATGAGAACAAAAAGTAAATAATTTTTAATTATTTTCAGAATAACAGGCTGGACTTATTTTTTTGTGTGAAAATTAAGGATGAATCAAATGATAGGAATAATTCATCATTAATTCAGGATGTATTAAGAAAATTTATAGCCCCATTATTACTTCATCCTATTGTAAATTCAGTGTTATTTTTGATATTCATTGGAGTATTTTTTGTGAACATGGCTTTTATTCCTCATATAGAACCTGGTCTGGAACAAAAACTTTCTATGTCAAAGGATTCAGAGGTTTACAAATACTTTGTAGTAAGTATTTTATAAACAAATTCATATTAGCTGTTTCTAGTTTTGTTAATTTATTAAGGTTTACATAGTGTAAGATAAGCACCTACAATATGAATTTATATAAAAGTATATTACTTTTCTAATCCTCAAATCCTGCAAGAAACAGGATTTTGCTACCTACTTTTTCCATCACTTGGTTGCTTATAGATTATTTTTATAATTACATTTTTCATTTTACAAAATATTGGATTATAAAAGCTGAGAAACTAGTCTTATGTTTGAGACATCATAATCTTTTAGTGATAAAAAAGTTCAACCCAAAAAGCAATAGTCCAAATAGCCATTGTGTCTGACTACCTTTGAGGTAACAAAAGGATTGCTTTAAATGTTGAAAAAGTGATAGTCAGCAACTAATTATATAAAATTCAATTATAAAAAGAAATGTTAATTGATAGCTGTATATAAATAACAGGTTTTGTTTTCCACTTCCTCAAGAGATTAAGTAAATTGGTACTCAACAGATCTTTTAGATAAAATTTATATTAATTTTATTTTTAGTAAAAATGATTATATATTATTGCCATTGGGATGTAATGAGATGCTAATGTAGTGGAAACACAAGAACATAATGCTATGGTAGTTTAAACATATCATGAAACTCCAACTTTTTTGAGGCTTTTAAACTGAAACTAATTCTTTTTATGTTTCACATAAGAATTTTAGTGGGCATAACATCATAGCTCATCTTTTCTATTACATCTTGTAAAATATTTTATCCTACTGGTGAGATAAGCAAAGAATCATAAATGATTCTCATCATAATAGAAAACATCTTAAAAAGAAGAATAGGAAAAGGAACACGAGGTTACTACAACATTTATTGCTTGAGAATTTCCTTTTAAAAAGCTCATTTCGCAGATGAAGTGTAATTTATAGAACCTGATAAAATACTAGATTTTTTCTAAAATCTTAAATAGCCCAGTAACCTTGTCATTAAAAGGGGAGTCTAAGTTGCACTGAATGGGTGTAGAAGGTTTCTGTTTTTTTATATATATATGGCATGTGGCTGAGATACAAAATCCAAGTTTTCGACCTCAGCGCCTCCCCAGACCACTTTTTAAAACCCCCAAAACTGCTATATTTTCACACTTTGTTCGGTTTTGCCCATTTTGACCATGAACAAGCAAATTTTCGACAAAAAACATTCAGTACAGTTTTAAACAAGATTAAATATGCTGCAATATAACACCATTTTAATATTTTGAATGAGAGGTGAGGGAGGGGGTGAAGGTTTGATGGGAGAGGAGGAGATTACTTTTCATAACCAGATGTCTGAAATTAAAATAAAATAAAATATTTTACCAACATCAAGTGCATAGCAAAATAGTGAATGAAATTTTTGAAACTTGAAAAAGTTAAGCTAATCTCATGTTTATGTCTTCAATAACCTGCCTTATCAGAGTTAGTGAAGTAAAGATTTATTTAAATTATTATTTTGAAGGAGTAGAATGCATGGATATAAGAATGGCTATAAATAATAAGAGCTAAAAATAATTAATAAAAATAAGTGAGCTAGAATGACCTAATTCATTTATTTGATATTTTTCGTAGGTGGCTACTCCAGTCCAGTGCAGTGCCTTTTTTTCACCGATTAAATGCATTTTCTTAAGAACCCTTGCAAATATATAAAAAAATTAATGAGTTATTTAAATAGAGAAATTATTTTCTAGATGCTTTATCCTAAGGCGTTTTTCGTCATACTTGGCCGCCTAATTACAAATGACGCTTGATTTTGAGCATTAATTTGAATGACTTGAAAGAATTGACTTTACTAGTATTTTTTATTGCTAAGCCCTATTAGTTTTTTTTGTTTTTTGATGTTTTATTATTCTCTGACTACCCAGCTTTAATAAAAGACCAATTATAACAAAATTAAGCCAACTGTTGAATCTCTATGACTCAACCAACTCAAATCAAACGCCGTTTTAGGACAGTGCGGCCACATTTTTTTGTGGGGCCGTTGGCTTTTTATAAAAAAATAGTTATAAGGATCACAGCGATATGAATTTTATAGGGATGTGAGTGGAAGGTGCACAGTGGAGGATCTGGAAAAAGGCCTACCCTCGCCCACCACACCTCCCCCCCTCCGCCATTCCTTCTTGTGAAAATGAATAAATGTTTACTTTACTGACTCCTATCAGATAGCTTATTGAAGATAAAAGACAATTGCATATGATAAAAAATGAATAATAGTTTAAAATTTTGAAAATAAATAAAAAAATCTCTATATCAGAAACTATTTGATATATCAAGCCTATTATGGTCTTAAATTATAGCATATTTAATCTAGTTTAAAAATATATAGAATGTTTTTTGTCAAAAATGTGCTCCCTCATGGTTAAATGGAAAAAAATGCGAAAAATTAGCAGTTTTTGGAATGTTGAAAAGTGATCTGGAGGAGCTCCGAGGTCAAAAACTTAGATTTTGCATCTCAGTTACACACCATACAAGAAAATAAAATTCTACCCCTATTCAATGCAACTTATGATGTACAATGTTACTAGGCTGAAGCAAAAATAAAAAAAAAAAGTTTATAGAACAAGATTTTTTTTCATCATAAGCCATGGCCTGTGGGACTTGGGTGGAAGTCTCAGTGTGGCTTGTGGAACTTAGTCTAGGTCGCATTGTGGCCCACAGTCCAAAATGTTTGGAGACACCAGTTCTAAGTTGTTGCATCTACTAGTTTTCACATTAAAGGCCATTCTTGTCATTAATCCCCCACCATCACCCCCTGATCCTGAAAAACCCTGTTTTAGGCTTAAAGGTGAGGAAGAGGAGGAAATAATAAAGATAAGAATTTTCTGCCAGACCAAATGAGTCAATAAGAATAAAAATCCCACATATATTATTACAGTAAGGCTCGAAATCGGTTTTGTACCAAATATAAGCTCCTGTCATGCTCAAATACCATGAATGGAGTACCGTTGGATTAAGAATTTCACGGGGGGTTAGCGAATCGTATTCTCCACTTTTGTTTTTCTTTCTAAAATAAATAAAGTCAATACAAACATTTTGCTAGGCTTCAATACTGGAACGGAGGTAGGTCTGTAGATTGATATGGGACAAATTGGACCTTGAAGATTTTGATGCGTATAGCAAGACCCGGATAGTTCCTCTGGAACTATCGGATCCTGTATTTTTAAGTCCAAAAACGTGTTATTTTCGAGATAACTCAAGGCATGGGGTTCACATCCACACAACCTGACGTTAATTGTAGTATTGTCATTGGATACATTTCTCATTTCGTCGACTTGAGGTCTCTATGATCGAGACAGGAGGAGTTTATATTATTTATCGATGGTGTTTTTGATCGACAAGCCACATCATCTTTAATTCTTCACCAAAGCTCAAGATTGAGCCACCAATTTCGAAGGCTTCCTTCTCCTTCAGGCGGGCAAAATAGTCCAATCATCCCGAAAATTCAGGTGAACAAGTTATGAAAGAAAAGAAACTTTATTTTCGAATAACTAAAAAATTACACACTTTTCCCCAGGAATTCCCATGATTATATAAAACATTACTAAATTGACTACAAAAGGGAAAAAATCATCGAAATCGGACAATTTTTTGCTAAGATACAGCTTATTGAAATTTGTAAATATGTTGGTTCCAAACAAAAATGCAGATTTAAATTTATTTTATTTGAGTTCTACCAATGGGTAGTTTCTCTTCATGTTTTACATGTCATGTTACCAATGTCACATTTACTTGTTGTATTTTTAATGTAATACAGTTGTAAATTTCATTAAAAAAAAAAATAATAATAATTATTTTGTTTCCTTTTTCGATTATATTTATCAATAAAGTAACAATTGATTCCTTTATGTTTTGATACGTTGCATTATTTTATTTTCTTATTAATTTGGCATTTGATAACAATAAGCTGTGCGAATTTTTCGCACGGGCCTACTAGTAGTATAAAATCTCAAACATCATATTATGGATAACCAAGAGTAAGGAAGAAAAAGGCAGGTGAATGTGAGATCTAGTAGATGCAACAATTTTGAACAGGAGTCTCCAAATCTTTAGGTCCACAGATCACATTGAAACCTCCACCCAAGTCCTACGTATGTTTTTCAAATATACCAATAAGTAACAAATAAATTAATAAATACAAATATGTATGAATATGGACATGGGATGTAGGTTTCTTACTGCATAGAGATCATACCTGTCTCAATTGATAGGTGTGAAAAATCCATCTAAGTGTCGGACAGATATTTATCTACTTTAAGGTGCGTTTCAGCTGTGTCTGGTGACATTTGTTTACCATTGCTTGGGCTTAAGCAGGAGTAACTACAATGGGTAGCAAATTTTTTTTAGATGTGAGCAGAGAAGCAGGATAATTTTTATATTTTTAACAGAAGTTATCGAGGGTCATTAAGTATAGGCAGTCTTGAAAGAAGAAAATATGAAACCATATAATATGATATTTAGTGATCCTGTAATGTCTATTAAGAATCCTCCATAAACACTAACACAACAAGAACCACTAAAAGGAAAAAATAAAAACTGTTAAAAAAAACAAAAACTGATTTCTAGAGCCACATACGAGCCATGAAAGAGAAATAAATCATTTTAATCACAAATGTTTTAAATATTTATTATCATATTAAATGTATTTAGTTACTATTCCAAATTAATTTGAATAGCACATTTATTTATCATTTTCATTCAGTCATTATTTCATTTTCTTCTTAGTTCATGGAAGAAATCCTCTCTATTGGACCTCCTGTTTTCTTTGTATTGAAACCTGGATTGAATTTAAGTGAAGAAAAGGATCAAAATCTAATTTGTGGATCTTTAAATTGTAATAAAGATTCCCTTAATACTCAAATATTCGCTGCTTCAACAGAAAGTAAAATGTTGGTAATTCTTTTAATGGTATTTTATGATCATGTTAATATTATATAAGCTTAGAGGTAAAATTCGTCTTCATGTATTATATACTTCTCGATTTTTGTATCTGTACTCCTTTGTTAGCTCTTTATCCAGTTTAATGGTTCATCATTTTGAGGATTTGAGGAGGTGTGAAAATTAAGCACATCACCCAGAAAATTTAGGAAAAAAGTAATGAAGATAATGAAACTTGACTTGACCATAATTAAAAAAAAAAATTTTGAGCACATTTGTTCCTATGATTTTCAGAATGGTTTCTGAATTTCAATCCAAATAAAAAATCATTAAAATCACCCCATTATTAGCAAATATTCAACCTTTTGCAATTTGTACACTTATTTTAGTTAATTATTTTGAATGGAACATGTAATCGACTGAAAATTAATTCCTCCTAGCAATAATTTATTGCATTTTACTCATTTGCATAATATATTGCCATTTGTTCACTATAACATGCTGTGTGAATTATTCGCATGGGTCTACTAGTTATAACAAATGTTCAAAGAAAGAAAGAACAAAAATGATAGATATTTTAACTAACGAGAACAATAGATCTGTATGATTAGATAGTTGTGTATATATATATATATATATATATATATATATATATATATATATATATATATATATATATATATATATATACAACTTCTTCCCTCTTCTCCTAAGATATTTTATTGATCTCCTCTATCTAAAAACAAGCTAGAGTTGAATTTCAAAAATCATGTCATATACACTTTCGGTGATCTATTCTATGTTTTCCTCTAGTCTCCTTGTTTGAAACTTTTTATTTCGAAAATTCATAACCCTGTCAAAATGTGCCTTCCCCCCTCAGAAATTCAAAACCCCACCAAAATGTGTCTCACTCAAACATTTTAATGACACAACTTGCGACATGAAATCAACTTCTGGGCAAAAAGAAACAAACGTCTTCAAATAAGCAAAAATTTTGAGTTTTAAAGTGTATTTTATCTAACCTATTTATCTGACACCTATTGTTCTGTCCTCTTAGGAGGACAGAACAAGTTTATTTGTGCCTGGTAAAAATCTAGTTAAACATAAGAAAAGGAACAAACTTCTTCAACCACATGATGACGGTTTTGGATGACCACTATTTGGGATTCCTACAACTTTGGGATAGCAGACAAAAAAAAGTTATTTTAAAGATTTGATAAATATAAAAAATACATAGAAAATTTCATTCAAATAATTCAACATTTTGGCCGTAGGCTCCACCATTATATTAATTTAGAAATTATATTAATTAATAAGATATTAATATAATAGTAACTATTATACTAATTTAGAAATTAAGAAGGCAGAAAATTCATAATCACCTGTGACATTTAATATTTATTTTGTGACATTAAAAAACCTTTGTTTTTAAAGTATCACAATATTTTGAATTGTTAATGATTAAAGATTATTTTATAAACATCAGCAATTTTTAATTGACAATTTTTTTAACTGTTTATATGTATTTATGAACATTTTTCAGAACCCGTATTCGAACACCTGCTTCATCATGGTTAGATGATTACTTTGATTGGGCAACAACTGATGGTTGCTGTATGGTTTACAAAAATGGAACTTTTTGCCCACATAACAGTAAGTTTGTTTTCGCATTCTTTCTGAAATTTGAGACTCCCTTTTCTTCTTCTTATCTGGTGCTACACTCCACGAGGGAGCAAGGCAGCCCATAACAATAATCAGTCATTTCTCTATTGTGCCACTCCTTTCCAGTTCTGGATGACAATGATTGACCAATCATCACCTGCCATTCCATCGGCACCCTAGGTTTGCTCAACCGTCTCCGTCTGCACAGCCATTCATCCATCTTTTTCCAGATTTCACCCTTGGCCATTGAGACTCCATTCCCTCTTCAGAATCGTGTTTAAAATAAAATTTCACTAGCTAGTTCACAAATAGTATGCGTGAACAATCTATTTCAAAAACGTAAAGACACTGAAATTAAGTATTTAAGGTATGCAAATACCTGAGATGTTATCCATCTTTTTCACAAAATTGACTACTGTGAAGTAGCACTTTGTTTAACCGATTTTAGAATTTTTTATCATTTTCTCTAAAACGGCTATAACGATTTTTATAAACACGTTATACCTATGTGCAATTTAAGGATTTTTAATATTACATAAGCCTTATTCTAGTTGATATTGCATGAATAAGGCTGATTTTTCAAAATGGTTTCCGCTGAACTACTGTTACATGCTTTATTTGAAATAAATAATTTTCTTTTGAAATAAATAATTGTGGTTAGAAAATAAGAAATGATATGGCAAAACTGGGCTGTTGCAAAATATCTTTGAAATTGATGTACTTCCTCTCTAAATTTTAATCCCTTGTACTCTTCTGGTATTACCTCTCACCAATCTCGTATCCCATCTCATTTCTTTTTCAATAAATTCTCAAATGGCTTCTAAGAAAGCAATATCCTGTCTCCTTGGAATACGAATAGAGTTTGAAATCATACAAGCGAACTAACTGCCCTATTATTTGATAAAAAGGTTGATGTGACATTAATTGCTGAAACTCAATTAACCGCTAAATTGCTTTTCAAAATACCGCATATCCTATCATATCGGTGTCATATCCTACTGACCATCCTGACGGTAGAGCACATGCCGGTACTGCTGCCCATGTTTCCCTCTCTCATCATCCATTCCCTTTGCCTACTCCTTAATTTCCTATGAGCCACTGCTAAACTAATCAAGGCTCTCTTCTCTCCAAACCCACTTCCATCAGCATGTAGCTCTTCTAAACAATCCAAATCTAATATCAAATCAATTCTCTCCTTAGTTCCTTAGGACATCATTTCATTCCAGGTAGATACTTAAACACTAATCGTCAACAATGTGATTCTGGAATCCTGAATTCTTGTGGTCGAACTTTGCTGTAGGAGAAAACAACAAAGGAGAAATTAAACTCTGTTTTAAATTCTTTTTCTTTCTTTCAGTAAATTTATTGGAATATGTTACCCCAGAAATTTAAAATCCTCGCTAATCTTTCTACGGCTGTCACAAAACAAAACATAAAATCACTGCTTCCATAAAAGGTTTTATTCAAAAATTCACGACTCTTTGGACACTAATGCTTTAAGTTCATCTAATTTTTGCTTATTATCAGATTAAATAAAATAAACTCACTAGTATTTGTCTCGGCATGGAACATCTAAATAGTAAATAAAAAGTAAAAAAAATAAGTGGGGAAATAACATTAGACATTTGTGAAAAATGTATTAGAATATCTGCAACACGCTGATGTTTGGGGCTCTATTCTATCCAATAATTTTCCAAATTTCTTGCTCACTTACATTAAAACGTATAATGCCTTCTCCAAAAAAGTAAAAATATGTAAAATGAAAAATGCTTTATTTGTTTTTAAAAAAATAATAAAGTTAAAATAAAAAACTGAACAAAGGCTTGTTTATACTGAGCAGTATCATGACAGGATCTTGCTTCAGTCATGACAAAATCTGAGAAATGGAATTGTGTTGTTCATACATGGTCGGCTCCTGACCAACATTGACCCACCGTAACCTGACAGCTTAATCATCATCCATATTCGGCCCTACCACTGACCTATTTTAAATTTAAATTCATATTTTGTGATTTCAAATCGAAGGAAAAATGTTTATCGGGATTACATAAACATAATAGGTAATATTATTAGCCTTTATTAATTAATTTTTCATCTATTTAGCACAACGTTCCACCCAGATCATAAGCCATCTTCAGATTCATTTTAAAATTCCATTACAATTTATAATATCGAATGATTTTATTTTAGTCCCACATTCAAAATCTTTTATTTAAAATTACTATTTTTATCAGTCTACAGCACTTCCTGGTAAACTGTTTATATTATTCCATCTTACATAATATCTCATCAAAACTATGAGCAGTTCTCGGAGTGATGGCTGTTCTACAGTTAGTGTCTGGTTTTCTTTGAGTTACTTCCAGTTCACTCAACATAAATTTCAATGCATTTTCTGACATTCTCAAATATTCGAAAAATGTCGTTCCTTCGTTTATCAACTCTTAATAAAGAGTAACGAATTCACTGTCTGTTTCCAAGCCTGATAAATCCACTTCTTCTCATTTTCTCGTTTTCTCATTTTTTTTTTTGTTCCTCCAATTCATCTAAAATTTAAGATGAATCATCCATAAATTAGTTTCTGAGAATTTCTATATTTTCAGAAGCAATAAAAGTAGATGCCAATTACGCCAGGCATCACTGTGTATTGAAGATCAATGTGGGATCACGGACGGTGAGATAACGTGTCTTTCACGCTATCTATGGGTGGTCTCTGCTCTCTTTGGTGAAAATATCGAAACACAAATAAATCCAGTCCCTACTTGTAACATTGCATTTTCTTAAAATATTATTAGATAAAATTTGAAATATTTTATAATCCTACTTTAATCAATATCAACTTCTTACAAAACGTTTTAAATAATTTCCAAATATTTTAAAATTAAACCTTAGTTAATATTTTACCTTTACAATATACATTCATTTACTCCTTTCTAGGTGATACAAAAGATTGTGTAGCATGTAACATGACTACAAATCGTGATAATATGAGACCTGGCGCTGGATCTTTCAGATCATTCTTACCCTACTTTCTTAAAGACAGGCCTGATGCAGCCTGTGCTAAAGGTGGTCGTGCTTATAGCGCAGTAAGTATTTGAAATATTGTTACACCCAGAAACTGCGGTTAGGTTTCCATTAAAGATGTTATGCTTCATAGGCTGTCAATTATGAAGTAGACATGGAAGGTGTACCCACAATACAAGATACCTACTTTATGTCTTACCACACAAGTCTGAAGACATCAAAGGATTATTACTCAGCATTAAGGTTGGCTAGAGAAGTTGCAGAAAATATTACTTCAATGTTGAATGAAGGAAGAAAAGATCATAAGATTGAAGTCTTCCCTTACAGGTAATTAAGGTAATAGCCTTCTCTTAAAACTATTACGCTGGGAGTGGTTTCTATTCAGGGAGATTATAATAATTATTTTAAATTACTATAGCTTTACTTAGATCACTGCTGTCAATTTCCACTTCAAGTGATGAACAAAGCCCTGATGAATATTTGTTAGTGGAAATCTTTCAGATTAAGGGTTTCCTGTCAGGAGGAGGGGCAGCCTAAAGGTACTATTTTGCTAGTACTGTCCACGGCACCGACCGCTATTTCATACTGCCAACCGCCAATGCTTGTCTATTTTGCTGAAAGTACTCACCATCGCGGCCAAATATTCTCAATTTAGCATCCTAGTTTGATATAATTTTAAATAAAAATGTTAGCCTTATTTTAATTTAATGGTTTTCATTTGTATAGGAATGATAACAATAGATTTTATGGCGAAGTTTCAATCTTATTGCTTGTGTGATTTGGATTAAATGTAAAGAAAAAATAGGTTTTTCTATTGCCAAAAGCAAGTTTTTGAGAGTGACAAGTATTTATCAATAAATTTAAGTGGAAAAATGAAATGAAGTTAGTTTTATGATAAGTAAAAGATAATTTTTTTTCATATCTATTTTAAGATGAAGAATATTAAATTTCAACAATTTATTTTGCATAATGACATCCTTGTTCTCATCCCTGTGAGATATAGGAACATTTCAAATAAAACAGTATCAACTACAGATGCAACAAAACTATTTTCTAAATTTACAATTTTTCAAAAGTAAGATAAATGTTTCATGGATTTGAAATACGTCTTGGTAAGAAATAATTCCATAAGATGAATCCAAGGGAAATACAATAACATCAATATTTAAATTATTACACATAAAAGCTCGAAGAAATTTCCTTAAGCACGTCAGTTACTGGTGTATTTACTCGGTAGGTTTAATGAACCAAAAAGTTTGTACATTTTGAGTTATTCACAAATAAAATTATGAATCCGTCGATACTTTTTTTCAGTCTCTTTTTAGGGAAATATATTTAAATACATGAATTAATTAATTAATTAAATTTTGTAGACCGTAATTTCTATTTATTCTGGACTATCACATGCAACATCGCCTACCTTGTTTTTTTTTTATATTCACAAAAATAGGCCATCTTCTCCTCAGATTGAAGTGGGCTGAGCTGACTGATTGCATCAGTATACATATATAGAAGCCTTATAGTATATGTGTAACTGTCCATATTTAAGCATGTTACCGGTACTGGGAACTCTCTTTTGGTTACCTGACAGTGGGAAAATATTTTCACAACTTATCCTTCTCTCTTTGTTTTAATTTCATAATATCTATCAGGAAATTCAGAGGTGTTTCTCAAGCTGAGACTCGCACTGCCTCATGATGGTGCAGATATGTACACCCTGCTGACTCATTGCGGAACTAACAGCCGAATCATTACCAGTCTATTCTTCTGTCGTCACTGGAGATCGTGGTAGTTGAGTCTTCTCTAAAGTTCTCAAAGGAATGAGAAGGGAGCGACTGACTTCTTTAAAAGGAATTAAAGATAGGAATAGGTAGGGTGGGAATAAATAAGTAATAGGCGATATCATCTGGCATGACAAATTTGTAGTAAATATAGGAGTGGGGGAGGGCCGAATAGGCTAAAGCGTGTGCACAGCACCGTGAGTTGTCTGGCATCCAGATTACAGATTTGAGAAGATTGAAAAAAGTACGAGTTCGCGTCCAGGTGCCGGAGGGGATTTTAAATTCCCCACCCTCACCCCCCGGCCCAGAAAAATCCCGTATAGCCTAAAAGGCGAGGTAGGGAAGAACAGAAGAAAAAAAAAAAATTGAGTGAGGGAATGAGAAGGAATATATAGGAATGTGAGGTTGCACTGTGAATTTTACTCATTTGTGCAGTGGTCATATTGTTCATTGAAGTCTCATATCGATAAACAATCAACGAAGAAGGAAGAGGTTGGAAAAGGGCCAGGCAGGTAACAGCAGTTGGAGAAGGACGCCGGAGAGAAAAGAAGGGACTTGAGCCATGGGCATGAAGGGAGGTTACCTGAGAAGAGAAGCCTACTACACTGAAGATTATGAATATCAAGCCTACAGTCATAACACTGTTAAATTAATAGATTAATTTAAATAAATAAATTGTTTTATTATACAGGAGTGAAAAGTCGTTTTATTTAATTGTCCTATAGGCCTCACAATTGAAGAATAACAAACCACGTGGATCAATTCATTCAAAGTGTGTTTACTCAGTCCCACATTTCATATATATATATATATATATATTCTTATTATTTCTTGTCTCTCAGGGTCACAAAAGCATTAGGTTCCCGAATTCCCAACGACAGTTAAAACCCTCAAAAAGTCTATATCCAGTGCCGGGGTTTTGTTTTAAGAAAATTAAATTCAGGAGTGTAAATAACTTAGTCCCCAACAAAACGGAAGGTTATTTACAATTGCCGCCAAACGGGTTATTACAATTGCCCACGTGCAAAGTTATTTACAAATTGATCATGGAAAGATGAAGGGAATAGTTTAAAGATCTGCTGGAGGGGAGAAATTTAGATATATGTGAGACCCAGAGGAATGTAGATGATGTTTGGATCGAAGATGACTACATTAGCAAAGAAGAATTGCAATAAGCCATTACTAAGACCAAACTAGACAAGGCAGCAGGAATTAACAAAATTACTCCTGAAATTCAAATACATGGAATATAAAGGCCAGGAAATGTTCCTCTCTCTCCTGAATCTCATTTGGAAAAAAAAGAAAATTCCTAAGGCTTGGGAGGTTGCAGTGATTGCGCCCATCCATAAGAAAGGAGATAATCGAGAGTGTTGCAACCATCTGGGAATTTCACTTCTCAGTGTACCCAGCTAGGTGTACTCCAAAATTCTCGAGGCAAGAATAAGAAGAGTGATCGACAGTCAGCTCGGAGAAGAACAATACGGATGGATTCAGGATACAGCGAAGCACGCAGGATCTCATGTTTACATTGCGACAAATAACAGAGATCATCAAAAAGAATAAAGAACTTTCTGTTTGCTTTGTGGTCCTCCAAAAAGCTTTCGACAGAGTTAGGAAGGAAGAAATAGATTAGGCACTGTCTGAAAGACAGATCGATTGAGGGACGACTTTGGCCATGATGAGTCTCTATAACAAGACCAGGAATGTGGTTAGGACTATGAACCACATATCACAGGAATTCGAGATGAATCTAGGTATTCATCAAGGTTGTAGTCTGAATCCATTACTTTTCATAATAGACTTAGACCTGGCGCTATGAAACGCTAAACTTCGAATGAAACCGTTCCAGTTAAGGCACAGAAATCTACAACCCACGAAATTCTCCATGTTAGCATTCACAAATGACCTAGTCTTGCTGTCCTTAAACGACTGAGAACTCCAATATAATATAAATATTCTCCAGGAAGAAATAGCCGCAATCAATATGACAATCAACCCAGAAAAATCCAAACGTATGGTAATATGAAAGAAACCAAGTAGAATAATGAGAGTCATTAGCGCAAATGGATAAAGATTAGAGCAGGTCAATAATTTTAAATATCTAGGTGCTCATCTCAACAAAAATGGCTACAATGAAGAGGAAGTGTCTCAGAGAATTGGTGCAGCTGCAAGAGTGTTCTTTTTACTTAGGAGGGATTTTCTGGACAAAGAAGACAAAAATGATGGTCAATAAATCAACATTCCTCCCTATTCTTTCTCACTCTTCCAAATTGTGGACCCTCACCATGAAACACTAGAATCAAATCCAGTCCATGGAGATGCACTAGCTATGTAAAGTGGAAGAAAAGGTTCGAAGAGATAGGATAATGAACTGTACCATACGGACTGGCCTCGAGGTCAAGCCGGCCAAGCTCATCCTAGAGGAGCACAAGCTAAGGTGGTTTGAACACCTCCTTAGGATGGATCAAGAAAGAACTTCCAGGAAGACATACAAGACTCCTGTGGAAGGAAGGAGGCCAAGAGGGAGACCGAGGGAGACCTCTCCTATCCTGGGAGGAGAGCTGGTCCAACAGCGAGACACCTGGTCCAGACTCTACAAATTGTAACCCACACTGCACAGCGGTACATGGGGGATAAGGATTATGATGATGATGATGATGAAACAAAAATAATTTGGAGGAGGGCGTTAAATAAAAGTAAAACAAAGTATCACTCATCTACTCAAACATATTGCCAAGAGGCACACTGGAAATTTGGTATCACTCAGAGTTTCTCAAGATCCCTATATATGGTTTAATATTGCTGTATATATCCATTGCACTTAGACAATGTTTCAATAATATTGAAGGAGCTTCAAAAAATTTTATATCAACCAGTTGATATTGATTGACTTCAATATAATTGATGTCAATGTAGCCCTCACAAGGTCAATATATTGACGAAGCTCAATATTGACCGTGTAAGGAGCTCTTTCGATATAGGTGAGCACAAGTTTATTCACGCACGGGCTCAGGTGACATCACACGGATACAGCGGTGCCCACGAGCTCTGGATTGTGAACCCCTGTATTGTGGGGTTAAGTAAATTTAATCATAGATGGATGGTTTTCATTGATATAACATAATCGAATCATAGGACATAAGATAATGGAATTGTGGAGGCAGGGTGGCCAAATGGGCTAACGCATGTGCACAGCACCGCCGTTGCCCAGCAACCAGATCAATTAGGTACTTTGATTAAAATAATATCAAGTTTGCTTCTCGGTGCTGAGGAGGTCTTTTAACTCTGGTATTAATCCTCCACCCTTACCCCGGGCTCGCAAAAACCTCCGTATAGCCTAAAAGGCGAGGAAGGGGAGGAAAAAAAAAGATAATGGAATAATTAAAGGTAGTTCCAATTATATGTCTCCAATTGTACAACTTTATTATTTTATATAATTATTTTTCTTAAATATATTTGATTAATTTAATTTTTTTTTTTTTCTAGTGTCTGGTATCCATTTTATGAACAATACCTAACTATCTGGTGGACAATGTTTATTTCACTAAGTTGTTCCTTATTGGCTGTATTTATTGTTACATACATTCTAACAAGTTTTGATTTTAAATCTTCTCTGATAGTTCTTCTCACAGTATTTATGATTTTAATCGATCTTGCGGGACTAATGTACTGGTGGTCTATAAATTTGAATGCAATTACACTTGTGAATTTAGTTGTTGTGAGTAATATAACTTTAATATTGTTATAAGCAGTATAAATTTAAATTCTGCTATGCAAATTATAGTGTATACATATGTTAGTCCATAACGTGGTCTATATTTGTCCATAGGCTATTGGAATCTCTGTTGAATTTTGCAGTCACATAGTTCATTCATTCTCAAAATCCAACAAGAAAGGAAAGAAGCTTCGGGCTCAGGATGCTTTAGTTAATACAGGATCTGCAGTAAGGAAATAGTTTATGGTCATTTATTTGTAGAAAAAGTATTGTTATTTTAATTATAAATTTTAACATTTTGAATCTGTATAGGTTTTTGCTGGAATCACACTAACAAAAATTATCGGAATATCAGTACTGGCATTTTCAAAAACACAAATATTTCGAGTATTTTATTTTCGTATGTACCTAGGCATGGTAATATTTGGAGCACTTCATGGACTCATATTTCTTCCAATACTGCTAAGCTACATTGGTAAGTAATTTCGATCACAGTATATTGAACGAACAAGTGAAAATAGTTGTTAAGTAACTTTAATGTTAATTATTGTGAACGAATAAAAACTCACCAAGAGACAGAAAATCGATGTTAGGTTATAATTGGAAAATTCCAACCACCTAGCCTTATGTCTTTAAAATGGAGGTAAAGAGTAAAATATTCCATCAACGTTTTGCCAATTCAGGCATCATTAGGATAGAAAATAAGACAAGCCCAAGGTCACATCACCCGATGACATCCAATCGCATATTAGAAGAAAGATGAGATAACACAACTGAAAAAGCTATCATAAAATAAAATAAAATCATTAATTGTAATAAATAATGCATTTAAGCACTTAAATGGAATACTAGATGTAATAGTAGTGCAGAGGTGCCTAGAAGGAGATTTCTTGGCACAAATAGCACACATTTTTACGAGGTGGTGAATATTTGAGGAGGGTCCATTTCTATACATTTATGAATTTTTAATTTTGCTGAAGAAAAAGCAGTGAGGGAATCTGAAATACAAACGACAGTAACGATTTTGAAGCATTTCTTAAACTAGAAAAGACAGCTAAGAAGTTTGGACTTGTCCACGAATCAAAAACTAAATATATGCAAGCTGGACCAGAACATTGCTAGGAAGAGCATATTGAGATTGGGACATACAAGTTTGAGAGGGTTTAGCATTTTATGGGCATGGGGTCGGAGATGAATTAGGATGGTGATAGATCTCAAGATATTAAACGTCAGATCGCAGCAGCAAACAAGTGCTATTTTGGCCTCTTCAAGCAATTTAAAAGTAGATTTATCGACAATGAGACCAAAGTGAGGCTTTACAAAGTCCTTATTTGGCCAGTCCTCGGGTATGGAAGTTTGGGTGTGGAATAAGTCTGATAAAGGTAGGCTGCTGATTTTTGAAAGGACAATATTGGAAAAAATTTTTGGTCATGGGAGTGATGGATCAGGAGGGGAAGGTCATTAATGTAAATAGCAAACAGAGTAGGAGATAGAGAGGAACCTTGAGGGACATCACAGGAGAGGGGAAGTATCTTAATATAGGAACAGTATCTTATCCAACTGTGTCAAACACTTTGGAAAATTCAAGGATGAAGATAGTAATTTTTTGGTGTTCAATGAATTTTTGGAGATTATAGGTTATTATACATGGTGTTTCAAGGTTAAGTGACCAAACTACAAAAATGAACTAAGGACCTCAAAACAATAAAAAAAATTCTTTGAAGGTATGTCCGCAAACGCTTTTTTTAGGAGATATTCACAGCTAAAGATTTTCATTGTTATGAATTATTTACATTATATGAAATAAATGAAACCTATTTATTTGTTCTAAATACTTTATTAATTAAATGTAAACATTAACATTCACATTAAATGTTGTTCAAAGTGATTTCCTCGAGCATTAAGACAGGCATCTTTCTTCAACAGCAGCAGTGGCAGAACGGCACTCGATATGTGTTATTGTTTCACAAGATTCAATTATCCTTCTTCATAAGAATTTAAGGTCATTGACCGGACTGGCTCCATCATATCCCATATCCCAATCAATCGATTGGCCATGCAATACCAGTGGCTTGGCCTGCACGCTCTCCAGACCTGACACCACTGGATTTTTTTTGTGTGGTATATATGTAAAAAATAAACTTACAATAAACAGCATTAAGGAAGTGCTGTACTGACAAGAGTAGTTTAAATCAAGCACTAGTGGATCTAGGAATTAATTTTGGAGAGGGTTTCAGCCCGAAAGCTTTTTTCCAATATATATAACGATAATTACTTTGGAAGAAAAAGAAAAAAAAACTAGCTACTTGAAGTCCTAATAAATGTAATTAACAAACAATAATACTTTTCAGGGATAATCTTTTTTGTAAGACATGGGATAATTTCACCGTTTTGAGGGGAAGAGCTTCAGCCCAAAAGATCTCCCCCTCCCCCTCTCCCCCACATCATCCCCTTCTCTTCCCCCCATACCTACACCTGTGAAATGGAGAGAGATCGGGAAAAATTGTGGCTTTTTCCGATCTCACAGTTTATAAGTATATCTTACCTCTACTTTAGTTAATTATCAAATTCGTTCATAGTTTATATTTAACCATTTTTATTTTTATTTCCAATGTGAAATGGTTAATTATTTTAAATAAACAAAATTAAAGGTATTTTTGTTTAAGTAAAAAATTTTAAAACGTCTATTCTTTTGTTTAAATTGGTATTTTTACAGAAGTATATATTGTTGAATTATGATTTTAGGTCCTGATAATTCCGAAAAAATATTGCTAAGGAACAGAAGAAACAGGGTGGAATTTTAGATTCAAGTTAATTTTCTTATTTGAAAATTATTGGCATCTGCCATATATTCATGCCTCCATGAGCCAACCTATAAATGTAAAAATATTGTATGATAGAACTAGGACTTAGTATTATTATTTATATCTTATATACTTCTTCATTCCTAGGTGCTTTAATAATAATAGTGCTATAATAAGTGAATAAATTGTTAGTTCCTAGACAAATTTTATAGTGTTGAATATTGCTATTGCTACTATTAGTGCAAAAGGTCTTATTTAAAAATTGAGTGTTTTACAGAAGAGCATAAAAACTGGTTCTTTCTTTATAATTTATTAGTATAATTTTACATTTTATTTCCCTCGGCTATTTTCCATAGTAAAATGTCGCCTTTAGCACAAATAGAATAAAAACGGAAAATGTTTACATAAAACCTTTTGCAGTAACATTAACGATATGTTAAGTCCTCTACCTATGTATATGTTAACTAATAAGGAACTTGATCAAATGGCATTGATATTTTGATTTGTAAAGTTGCTTCTATGAAAATTTTACTATAAATAATTATAGTGTGTTTCATCGTTGTCTATGTTACAAATAGATATTACTGGGTTGTGAAAACTGTGATAAATGCGCTTTTAGATCAAATATTTGTATTTTACTATTAACTATGAATATGTGCCATTTCTTTTTAGAAGTGACATCATAAACTTTACCCATTAAATTTAAATACAATTTTATGATAATGTGAATATTACCAGTAGCTTTAGGGAGTTAAAATTATTTTACTTAAACCTAAAAGATGCTTATCATGATTGTACAAACCTTTTTTATTTTTATTACAAAGCTTTACGAATTAGTTTTTGAAATTCCTGATAATGTATTTATTTTTTATATGTAGTTTGTGTAAATAAAATTTTCATTTATAAAACAGTATTCTTATGATGGATGTTATTAATATCTTAATTAATATAAAAAAAAGTTTTTGACTTTCTTAATCTTGAGAAACCTCAATGCACGACCTCAGATCTTTAGATCTAAACACCAACTCTGTAGAAAGGGATAAAATTCTTATTTCATTGATGCTAAGGTTGTTAGACTCTGTTATTCAGACCAGTAGCAGATTCAGGATTTTATTGTTTATTTTTTTCAGTAATGATAATTACAGGAACAAGAATGCTTTTAGGGATACATTTAGTAGCTGAAGTGCTTATAATTATTTACATGATGTGATTGTTTAAGTATTTGTTACAGATCATTCTTAAAAACAAATAGGGAAATTAAAATAATACATAACAGTTTTTATTTTCTAATTTCTAATAATAATAAAGGAGGACTTAGCAAATCCGAAGGTTCGATCCCGATACCACCCATCACTGTGTACACAGGAGTGAAACGAAAACCACTTTTTTTGGTGGACAAAAATCTAATAGCATTCAAAAGTTGTTGTTTTTTATATAAATAAAAACATTACATTTTTTTAATATATATATAAAGACTTTTAAATAAGGTTTTTGAACAATAAACTTTAAATTTAAATAATTCTTTCTCTACTTTAGTTTTACATTTTTTTATCAAAATTGTTTCGAAATCAAAGAAACTTTTATTGTCCATAAATTTTCAGTTCATTTGGAACTAAAACTTTTTCCCTAGCAACTTTTAAAACATGGTTTTATAGAACGTTTATTTAAAAATTCTGTCAAATTTACTAAGAAGTCAATCTAAAATTGACTTTTATCCATAGCCACTCAAACTAACAAAACATTATAGTCATTTGTAATTCATTTAGGACAAATTATAACTCTAATCTATGCCCGATCACTGTTCATTTTTCATTTAACAGAACTATTTTTAAGAACTTGAATAAATGCAAGTTAATTTATGCAAAGGTGAAAAAATGTTACCATAAACCTGGAACTTTTAAAAATAATCCCTAATGTTATTATTTATTTTAGCCTAGGATATGTAGGATGTCAACAGGCATACCGCAAAACCCTGTAAGGACAATTTCTTTGGAAAATGAGGTTTTCTGGTCAATCTTGTCCTGGCCATATTCTGATCCCACAAAATGAAATTAAAGATGTTTCATTTCTTCTCTGTAGCCTTTTGTAAAAACCTGTAATTTAAAAACAAACAAATTGTGATGTACGAAACTAAGTTACAGTGAAGTTTATAGAGACTGTGTCATTAACAAAAAAACGTAATGAAATGCTCAATGAAAAGTGGTCATGTAAATACAGAATGTATAAAGCGTTTTGCGCCTTATCATTTTTTAAAAAGTTGTAAATTTTACGCAATTTTATTTTATCATCCTCCAGTTAAATTACAGATATCTCATTTTTAGAAAAGCATAATCGTTTAATATCAATTCCTTTAAGTCCATATTAATTAACTTGAGGTTTATTAGGAAAAATACTTGAGATTCACCTCATGTTGTGCAAAAATATATTATGTGATTTTATATATTGTCACTTAAAAGTACCCGTGTTTTCAACAAAAACCACTAAAATAAATTGTTGGATACACTAAAAATACTTAACTTGAATTTAATACTTTTCTGTTGAAAATTGTTTATATAAACTTTTTTGTAGCCCTTGAGGTTTGTTATCACACCTCTAACAATATTTCTAACAATAATGTAATATATTTCTCTCTTCTTACGTGGCATCCTGTATACATAGGCGCAGACTTCGGGAGAAGGAGGAAGGGAGAGGCGAGGGAGGCGACCCCCTCTCCCCACAATGAAACTGTGCACATATATTTCCAGGCCGGCGCCTATTGACAAAAGCTCAGGTACACTGATCTGAGGCCAGTACTGCTTACCATGGAACTAGACAATGCAAAGAAGAGAGTGGTAAGTGGGAATACAATATTAAAGGGGCTTTAAAAAATCGAAACTTCCTGTACCCTGCAAAATGAGCTTGACTGGAAAAAAAACTACAATTCCACCGAATCCCAGATAGTGAGAGACCGAGAATTGATTACATTAATTAGAAAATTTAACACGAGACGTAAAAAGAACTCGTGTTTCATCTTTTCAAACCAATGAATCTTCGAAATCGCATGAAGCTCAGAAACGAAGTGATCTACACATCAGCAGGTTACCTAGAACGCACCGTGCACTCGTGAATCAAACCATGTCTACAAAATGAGGGCATGCACTTCGTTCAAGCTGCATCAGTGGGAGACAAAAAAGTGAATAGCCCGTGTGATCAACAAATACTGTCTTCCCAGGCAAATTTTTTTCAAATGTTCATTTGAAGTATCGTTTCTCTACATTTTTTAAACTGACTTTGTTCCTGTCATACTTTGATCATTATTTTAAAAGTTATGGGCGTTACAAAATAAATTTGATTGCTTTTGCCTAACTAGTACCTGCTTTTCAAAGTAACTAAATAACTATGAGTTAGAAGTAATGGCTCTAAAAGCTTAATTGTCAGAAATACGATTAAAAAAAAAAAATCGATCATTATATCTTTGTCTTAGACCTACAAACAAAATTGAATCGAAAAATTACGCAGTTTATTTCCTCTCCTTAGAATTATTAGTTTTTGTTCTTACAAGGTTTTGCAGTACGGCTGTCGATATGTTGCTATATATTAGTGTCTTTGAATGTAAATTTTTTCCCGTTCTATATATGTTGATATTACATTCAGAAAAGGAGATTACATTGAATGTAAATTCCTGCCCACCTCTTGAAGTCTGCGTTTATGTTCATAAACTGTCAAATTTTTCTCCAACTGGCACTGGCGTCACTAGCGGATAAAGCCGAGGGGGCGCGCCCTCCCCCTCTCTTCCCCTGGAAGCTGGAAAAAAGATCCAAAAAGCAGCTATTTAAAGAAAAAGGAAATATAGCGGAAACTCATTCTGATAGACGATGAATATCATAATGCAATATAAAAAAAAAACGTTTTATCGTTCTAGCAAATTCTGCCGGGAGGCGCGCCCTCCAATGGATGGGGGAAAAGGTGACAAAAACATCTATTTAAAGGAAAGAGAAATGTAGGGACAATTCATTCTCATACGCGAATTTCCTAATATAATAAAAAAAAAATTCAATCGTCGTTACCAGCACTAGCGAATTCTGCCAGGGAGGCGCGTCATCGCTTAGATGGTGGAAAAATTTCAGAAAAAAAGTTATAAAAACACCCTATTTAGAGAAAAGAGAAATATAGGGAAATTTATTATCATTCACGAATTTTCTAATGTAATAAAAACAGAAATTATAATCGTGACCAGCACTAGTGCTGCCAGTGGGCACGCCCTCTCTTGGATGGTGGAAAAAAAAAAATGCTATTTAAAGAAAAGAGAAATATAGAAAAAATTCATCCTCGAAGAGGAATTTTCTGTGATATAAAAAAAATGATTAACGTGACCAGTACTAGCGGATCCAGCCGGAGGCGCGCTCCTCTCTCTCCTGGATGGTTGGGGAAAAGTTCCAAAAAATGGCTATTCAAAGAAAATGAAATATAGGAAAAATTCATCCTCATAGATGAATTTATAATCTATATATATATAAATGAATGTCTGTCTGTTTGTCTGTCCTTTGTGCATTACTAAATCATTCATCCGATCGCCATGAAACTTTGGGAAGTTGTTCCGTACACTCCTGGGAAGGTTTCTGGCATAGTAAGTGAAAATAGATTTTTATTATCCTGGGACTTTTGTCACTTTAGGACAAATTAGAGATACAGAGAAAATGCCTGTGTGGCCATAAAATTAAATGAAATATTTACAATGCTCATTAAAAAATAAAAATATTGGATGAAAAATAAAGAAAAAACACTAAATACATACAGATATATACAATACAAACATGTGAAAATTAAATAACATGATTAAACAAAACCATTTCTGGGGGAACTTAAAAAGTTCTCTTATCTACTGTTCATGATCGATCGGGTTATGAAAGAAGTAGGTGTTTAAAATGGAGAGATTTGAATGAGGAAACTGATTGCGCATGTCGGATATCGGGAGGGATGGTATTCCAGATGGATAGAGGTCAGAAGTACGGGATCTAGTGGGACGGGATTGAATGGAATATTTAAATTGTAGGCTGTGAAAAATATAGGAAGGTCGCTAAGTTCTGATGGCTTGGTATAGAAAGGTAGCAAGGAAGTATAGGCGGCGGCTAGACGGATAGAACCACTTCAACTTGGTGTAATACTGGGTTATATGCGTATCTCTTGAGATTCCGAAAACAAAACGTATTGCGCAGTTCATAAGGCGTTTAAGTCTGGACTCGAATTCTCCCGAGAGTCCGCCGTACAGCAGACAGCCATAGTCGAAGTGGGAGAACACAAGGGAGGAAACCAGGAGTTGGCGGGATTCAGATGGAAGGAGATAGCGGAGACGGTTAAACTGTTTCAGGGTATAGATAGTACGACGGGAAATGTGGGGGATGTGTGGATCCAGGAAAGAGTTTGATCAAAGGTAACACCAAGGTTTTTTACGGTAGTATGGAATGAGATAAGTGAGTTGTTCAGGAAAAGATTGGGGAGTGTCGGTAAGAATTTGAGGATTGAGAGAGTTCCGATAAGGATAGCTTTCGTTTTCTCGGAGTTCAGAGTGATTCTATTGTGGTTTGCCAAGGCACAAATTCCGTCTATATCTTTCTGTTGTAATTTTTGGATGGCGTCAGAGGATTCGATCGGATTGAAGGAGAGGTAAATCTGGACGTCGTCGGCATACAGATGGTATTGACAGTGTAGAATATAGGATGGAAGGTCTTGGATGTAGATGGAAGAAAGGGTGGGAGATAAGGAGGAGCCCTGTGGGACACCTCTGGACAAGGGTAAAGATTCTGAAGGGAGGTTATTGGGGACTACAACATATTGGGAGCGGCCGGTAAGGAAGGATTGGAACCAATTAAGAGTACTAGTTGAACAGGAGATATTTTAAAGCTTGGTTAGGAGAATTTTATGATCTACTGAGTCGAAGGGTTTAGAGAAGCCAAGGAGAATTAGGATGGTGAGTTTCTGCTGGTCCATGGCT